TGATTTCAACAATCATAAAAAATGAACCAAGTGCAATACAGGCCATCAATGATTTTTCCTTTTCAATGTCAGTAAAGTCACCTGGATTACTAGTGGTAGGAATAGCAAAACTTAATAAAAATAATGTATAAATTATTGATACTCCTATGTGATATTTTCTTCCAAAATGGTTCCACTTGTAATCCAAGATAAATTTTCCATTCCAATGTTTGTAAATTTCTAAGTTCTCCAATTTAACAAAAATGTTTGATTCTGGTATAATCATTTCCCATACAGGATTATAATTACTACTGTAATTCATAAATCCTGGGAAGGGAATTAAGAGCATCACACAAGCTTTTTCACTTTCAAGTTCACTAATGTTAAATACCTGCTTTAAAAATAATGAAATTTTTTGATGTAAATAATCTCTAACAAATCTAAAAAAATATCTATAAAAATAGAAATGCCAAATTTTACTAGACTGGAAAATGAATATTTCATGGGGTTTTGCTTGATTAAATAAACCAGAGAAAGCAATCTTATCATCAAATTGAAGTAACATTGCTGAATTTCGAACAAAAAATTTTGAAATTAATCTTTGATAACCTCCACCTAATTGTGGCAATTTAGCAATAATGATTTTTAATAGACTGATATTTGATTCAACATCATCTATAAACCATTCAAGACATGATTCAACCATTCCTTCTACAAAATGTTCATTTCCTCCATTTAACGCTCCATCTAAACTCATGTCTCCATATTTGGTGAGATAATAGAAATCTTTTGTCAAGTATTGAATCATCTCTCTATAAGGGTGGTGTTTAAAAACTTGAATTTGACTTTGATTTTGGATTTGATCTTTGCTGGTGTAATTTTTTTTAATTTTTTTAAAAAAATGGTCAACATCAAATATATAACCTTCATAATCTTTTTCAATAGACTTGATGCTTTTTTTTAAACCTTCTATACTCAATTTATGACTTCTAATATATCTAACATATATTAAATTTTTTTTTTCATCAACAGCAAAAATTTGTATATAATTTGTTGTTATTAAGGTCAATCTATCATCAAATAACTTGCATTGAATGAATTCTTCTTCATATGATAATTCATAGTCACTACTACTGTTGCTGTTTTTGTTTAGAGCCCTTATATTTATATGTTGATGTTCTTTGTTATGAGTGATGGTCCATTTATAATCTTTTCCAATTTTAATGATAGGGTTTTCATATAGTCCTTTATTTTTTTCATTGTTGATGAGGAGTTCTTTAATTGGTTTATCAATTGTTTTGTCATCAGAAAGATTATAAGTATATGTACGTCGTGTAATTTTTTTTCCATTCTCTTGATGCATCAGATATTAGCTGCCGCAAGAAGATGGAACAATAAAGGATTGAAAGGCATCAAGTCATTCCCGCTGCGAATTTGATACTTTGTTGTTTGATCGTGATACGGTGGGCGAATATGATGTTTTTTGTATGAAAAGAGGATGTCAACGATGTTATGTCAAAGGAAAAAACCTGGCATCATAAGTCAAAACACTAATTACGTTTCATACCTACTATTGTCTCTTAACAATTAAGGAATATTAATATTAAATGTACAGTCAAACCTCCTTTCAACGAATTATATCTAAAAAATTTGCATCACATATAAAATTTTGGTATATCGATTTTAAATGCAATTTTCTTATGTGTCTGTCCGTAAATTTATTGAACAAGATTTGACTGCTAAAGATATCGACTGCGATTAGGGATTGGAACGGTGTGGGTTGGTTCACAAACCACCAGTTTTACTAGTGAACCGAACGTTTTATTGCGATAAATTTATTATGCACGTTCCCATTAAATTTATATGTAGCTTAAAATTTATGCTTTTTTTTTTTTTTACAAAAGTTTAGAAATACGTGTTATAATCAGAACACAGGGTTATGGGTTATGAGCGTTAAACTATCTAATGATTGATATTTCTACCAAACCCATGGTTCTTGCTTAGATTGTTTCTATCAAACCAAAAAAATGTTCTTTTAATAGATACTTCCGAAATTTTTGCTTTTGAATGAATAGTCTATCGATTTGAAAAATACAGCAGACTATTTCACATTTGTCTCTATGGTCAATTATGACGTATGGTCACATTCTCTGTAATTTCATGTGATGTTAATTATTATTCTTCATTATTTCACTTGATATTGGTTTTTTTTTTCTTTATTTTGTCTATGGACGCTTATTAATCTTATGTAAGATTCAAAATTTGGCACTAAAATTTCTCACCACATAATAATAATATCACATTCGTTGAAAAAGTTCTCTTAGAATGAAAAATCTGTTTGAAAAGAAAATTTTCAAGTATAAAGGAATTCGATTTTTATTTTTTGTGTACGTGGGATTATATTAATATGATTGTTGACTGTTAAAGATAAACAAAACAATCAATAATTTGAAATCCCAGATTTTGTTAAGTAATTTTTTAATGTGAAAGGTTTAGGCCCTTTCCGACCGACCATTAGATTCTCCAGCAATCTATTAGAAATATTAATTGGCATTTCAAAAATTATTGTATTTAATCATTATAGTGAAGTTTGACTTAACGATTCCAATATGATACTTCCATCCAATTCATCTTCTAAATATCGATAATGCGTTTTAATTGATCAAATTCATTTTTATAAATAAATCTGAACTTTCCAAATTTTTGAAGATTTAAGAATGCTTCCAATAATTTGTTTTTTTTCTCGGCCTCATATTCTGATGAACTGGACTCTTCTTCTCTTTTATTACCAGGAGTCTCTTCACTTTCGCATTTTCTTCCTATAGTTGTTCCTTTGCCATATGGGGCAGAGATTGGAACCGATTAACTAAGGACTTAACCAGTTAATTTATTTGTCAAAAATTTAAGCAGAGATTAATATTAATCAAATCAAAATGACGCAACAATTTATTTTATATAAAAATTGATTTTATCCTTGTATGTGAATGCCTCCATCCATCATGATGGTCATGATTATTATGTGATACATTTGATATCATCATTGACATAACAAACAATTGCATCACCCAAGTAGTAATGATACCAAGGCCATGCATAAATGAAACTTTTAATAATATGTGTCTACCCAGATCTCTGGGATTCACAAAAAAAATTGCTTATGAATAATAAATCTGATGATTGCAGGTGTCAGATTTAACTAAATTTCCTATCACCACCATGCATAATTGCAAATCTTTTCGATAAAAAAAATTAAGCCTATACATTAGAAGGCTTTGGACAAAACACATTTCCCTATCTTTCTCTCAGACCAGGCTGGCTGTTACCATATGGGCATTGATTGCTGATTATAGTTGACATTTGTGTGATGGTTGCATTGTGTTATACCTCTCTAGAATAAAGTTGGTATCTGCAATTCAGGATGTTGCAACCTGGGTTGTTGTTTTGGATTTTCCCTGAAGCCCCTATTTAATTAAATAACATCAAGTTCAGTTGGTCAAACAAAATTAGAGAAACAGAAAATTTATGAAAATGTTTAATTTATAACATAACATACCAAACAAAATCCAAATCATTTTATGACTTTTTTCTTGTTGGTCATATTGCTGACAAAGGTGTATATAATTGTGCAATAATTTTAATCTATGGGACAGAGGACTGATTGGGCAAAAACCCATCCAGTCCCCTACCCAAAATTATAGATTGGTTAGTATCAGAGAAACAGAGCATTCAGGAAAATGATTATACAAAACAAACACTATTTACAACTTTCCTCTTAACATCAGAGTCCAGCAGCCTTCTCTGGTCTGGTGTTGTGAGGGAAAATTAGTGAAAGTGTCATTGACAATTGATACAGTCTTGGTAAACTCCAGGGCCAAGCACTCCCCCCCTGGAATTATGTTGCATCATTGTATGATCATGAGAATCTCGGTCAAATTAGCCTTATGAACATGACAAGGAAGATGAGAATGACTGTGTAAAGTCTTTAAGGTAGCGTGCTTTAACGACTGCCAATTTCGATAAAACATTGCATATTTTTCAACGGTGTATTATTGCCTTGACGTCTTCTTGTAAATACATATTAAATTCCCAATCATTCATTCCCAGCAAGATCCTTTTCCGCGTTCTGATTCCAATTAAAATATTTATAAAAATATCAATACAAATAAAAAAAAGTACCTCTGGTTAGTTATTAACACGTTTTCTTTAGGAGACCCAAACCAAACCAAGCAACAACACTCACATTTTGTCATCTTGGATTCTGTCAAAAAATAAATTGTTTTTACAAAAAAAAAAAAAACAATTTGCCCAAAAAAAAAAACCAATAGGATAATTAATTAACGGCGTACACGTCGATCAAATCACAAACTTTTTTTTTTTGTAAAAATGTCTACCGATTCTAAAACAAAAAGAAAAAGAAATCAATCAAACGCAATTGCTGAGGAAAATGAGTAAGTGTTTATCATGAGTGGTGGTGGTGGTCGCCACTCATTATCACCCTAGTTATAATAATAATAATAATAATAATAGTGTAAAATAGTAAATTATAAATCACGGGAAACTGATATATAAGTCGGAAATGATTTACGAAGTTACCAGTCACAGGACATGTCACGCAGATCAATAGGGAGTTGTAAAACATACGTAGCAATTCTTTAAAACAAATAATAGATAGATTGGAATATACAAATGAAGGTGAAGATATTTAAATCATCCAAAAATTCATATTTTTCCATATAAATACATTTTGGACACTTTCCACCTTGATGATAACTTTTATCATTATTGATTTTTTGTTTTTGAACCATTTTGGATTTACTATGTTCATATAAAATCAATTTATTGCAATGTTTTTGACATCAACATGGGGTTTTATATTTAAATTTTCAATATTAGGACTTTTATTAATCTTTAAGATTGTTTGTGTGGTAATCCTTCGATATTTAATGTTAGGATCTTGATTACCACATACTACGCAGGGGCCAAAATTTTTTCATATATAACCTTTATTCATTTTATTAAATACAATGTATATAAGAACATTAATGTTATTAATTAATAAACGCGAGTTTGAAATGTAGATCATTGATTAATTTGTATGTTACGAGTGTAATAAAATGAAATTTAGAGTAAACCTTATTCAAAACCCAGCAGGGATCAGGAAAAGTTATTAAGGGATCTGAAATAAATGATAATAATAGAATGCTTATACAGAATTTGAAGTGGTGTTATTTAATGTGGGCAGTGCCTCCTTTCTAAATGGCACTTTTTTGATTTTACAATACTCTTTACATATAAACTGTCAATCTTTTTTGAAATATCTATCATAAAGTCTGGAAAGATAGCACCCCCTACTTTAAAACAATTGAGCGTCAATATAAAAAAATGTTACACATATGTAAAAGGGGATGCTATCTTTCCAGACTTTATGGTATTAATGTGCGTGACACATATTTGACCAATCATAGGATCATGTGTATGACAATCATTTGCCTTTTTTAGATATCAACAAACCACAAAAACAACATTGGAGTAAAAAAAATTTTCTTTGTAATATATTATGATCTCTTGAAATTCCTGGGTATGATTTACATTGACTATTTCTTGACCAAACAACCTATTTGATTCTGAGTGTAATAACTTACTATTTGAAATTACAACAAAACTCAAGGATTCTTGATGATTTCTCTCTTCTCAATCACAACCAAAGTGACCACTTTTTGACAAAATATATTCAAGTAAATGTATATCAGATAAAGAATGATCAATTATAACATTTATGTATATGAGATTTGAGAATTTTATAAATATTAATAAAAGTGTAATACAATTTTTTGTGTAAATGACAATTGGCCTACATGTAGATCAAATCACGTTATTTATGAGATGATGTGTGACAATAATAAATTTCAATTGACAAAAATAAAGTGAAATAATCACACGAAATTACAAGGATACATCATAAAGAAAAATGCTGTATTTATTTTTAAATCGATAGACTATTCATTCAAAAACAAAATTTTCGGAAGTATCTATTATTAAAAGAACATTTTTTTGGTTTGAATTTTCGTATTAGAAACAATCTAAGCAAGCACCGATTATAAATTAATCGCGAAAACACGTTTCTAAATATTTGTTCAGATAAAATAAAAAAATTTTTTTACCAAAACCTATTGCTACATATTAATATGGTATAAATTTAACTCCTATCCTTTTTTTTATATAAAATTAAACAAATAAGGGCGCTGACATATATTATATAGCTAATATTTTAGTATAGGGTTTCTATTCGAATAAGGTTTATTCGAATTATTCACTTTATTCGTTATGAATTTGAGTATTCGGATTATATTGAAAGTTTATTCGAATAAATTTTAATTCGAATAAGAAAATTGATTCGAATAAGGAAATTAATATTAATTTGAATAAGGCAAATAATTCGAAAATATTAATTCGGATAAAACAAATAATTAAGGTCCAGTTTAAATTCAAGCTCACTGGAAAGATTGCTATTTATTAAAAGAAACATGAATCTTGTTTCAGTCTTTCCTTATTAGTTTAATTTTTAATTTCAATTTTTATAATAATAAAATCAATATTAAACCTTGTTGTGCATATAGTTTGAATATTTAAGTAATTGAACAACCCATGATTCCAAATAATCTAATAAAACGAATGATTCCGATAATTAATAAAACAAATAAAACAAATAATTTGAATAAAGTGAATTAAATTTTAATTCGAATAAACTTTTAAATTCGAATAAACTTTTTAATATTAATATTAATATTAATATTAATTCGAATTAAAGGTGAATTATTACGAATAGAAGCCCTAGGGGGTAACAGAAAATCTTAGGTCACATAGGATCAATTTTGATAAATTGACTCCTGCATCACCTGTCTTGATTTTTGGAGATTTAAGAGTGCTTCCATTAATTTTAAGGAAATCTGACGAGTCTTTAACAGGAATATCCTATATACAAAAAAAGCACTTTTTCAAATTTTGATTAAAAATAGATTTGATGTTTCCTAAATCACCCGATTACCCGATTACAAATCAAGACTTTAGATATTTAAACGTTGCTGGCAAAAATAAAGAATCAACAGTCGCATAATCAATTATTAAGTTTTAATATTTAACACATATATATGTTACGAAATTTTCATAAATATGCTGCATTTTAATTTGATGTTGTGCTTTAATTAGTTAAGGTCAACTTTGTCCGTTTCTCAAATTTATAAAGGTTCCGAAAAACAGCATCGAATCTGATGATAAATCATTATCCAATCACCGCATTTTCCTAATCAAACTAAGTTGTTGTAAAAGACAAGGATTTCTTGTTAAGAAAGAACATCGAATTCAAGTTTGAATTATTGAAGAAATCACCATTAACAACAGATCTTGGATATTTTGGTGCTTTTTAACAGAATGAATGGATACTTCCATAAAGTTGGAATATTAATATCAAGACATTGTTTATTTAATAGAACGTAAAGGTGTAATGTTTTATAATCATATTAAAAGCGTTTGAATATTTCGCGTAACATTCAAATGGTATAATTTATTAATAATAACAGGAATAACAAAAAATTAAATCTATATATGTATGAAATTACTAACAATATCATTAAAATAACACGTTGTTATTTATTTATATATCATTAATTTTTAAAACCTCTTCTATTGATTTTCTTTGAACTTTGCTTGATAATTTAAGTTGCAAGATTTCACCAATCTCGTTACAAGATTTTAATATTTCATCTAAATCTTGTTTAGTATGAGCAGCTGAAATGCAAAATCTCCCCTACTTTAAAACAATTGAGCGTCAATATAAAAAAATGTTACACATATGTAAAAGGGGATGCTATCTTTCCAGACTTTATGGTATTAATGTGCGTGACACATATTTGACCAATCATAGGATCATGTGTATGACAATCATTTGCCTTTTTTAGATATCAACAAACCACAAAAACAACATTGGAGTAAAAAAAATTTTCTTTGTAATATATTATGATCTCTTGAAATTCCTGGGTATGATTTACATTGACTATTTCTTGACCAAACAACCTATTTGATTCTGAGTGTAATAACTTACTATTTGAAATTACAACAAAACTCAAGGATTCTTGATGATTTCTCTCTTCTCAATCACAACCAAAGTGACCACTTTTTGACAAAATATATTCAAGTAAATGTATATCAGATAAAGAATGATCAATTATAACATTTATGTATATGAGATTTGAGAATTTTATAAATATTAATAAAAGTGTAATACAATTTTTTGTGTAAATGACAATTGGCCTACATGTAGATCAAATCACGTTATTTATGAGATGATGTGTGACAATAATAAATTTCAATTGACAAAAATAAAGTGAAATAATCACACGAAATTACAAGGATACATCATAAAGAAAAATGCTGTATTTATTTTTAAATCGATAGACTATTCATTCAAAAACAAAATTTTCGGAAGTATCTATTATTAAAAGAACATTTTTTTGGTTTGAATTTTCGTATTAGAAACAATCTAAGCAAGCACCGATTATAAATTAATCGCGAAAACACGTTTCTAAATATTTGTTCAGATAAAATAAAAAAATTTTTTTACCAAAACCTATTGCTACATATTAATATGGTATAAATTTAACTCCTATCCTTTTTTTTATATAAAATTAAACAAATAAGGGCGCTGACATATATTATATAGCTAATATTTTAGTATAGGGTTTCTATTCGAATAAGGTTTATTCGAATTATTCACTTTATTCGTTATGAATTTGAGTATTCGGATTATATTGAAAGTTTATTCGAATAAATTTTAATTCGAATAAGAAAATTGATTCGAATAAGGAAATTAATATTAATTTGAATAAGGCAAATAATTCGAAAATATTAATTCGGATAAAACAAATAATTAAGGTCCAGTTTAAATTCAAGCTCACTGGAAAGATTGCTATTTATTAAAAGAAACATGAATCTTGTTTCAGTCTTTCCTTATTAGTTTAATTTTTAATTTCAATTTTTATAATAATAAAATCAATATTAAACCTTGTTGTGCATATAGTTTGAATATTTAAGTAATTGAACAACCCATGATTCCAAATAATCTAATAAAACGAATGATTCCGATAATTAATAAAACAAATAAAACAAATAATTTGAATAAAGTGAATTAAATTTTAATTCGAATAAACTTTTAAATTCGAATAAACTTTTTAATATTAATATTAATATTAATATTAATTCGAATTAAAGGTGAATTATTACGAATAGAAGCCCTAGGGGGTAACAGAAAATCTTAGGTCACATAGGATCAATTTTGATAAATTGACTCCTGCATCACCTGTCTTGATTTTTGGAGATTTAAGAGTGCTTCCATTAATTTTAAGGAAATCTGACGAGTCTTTAACAGGAATATCCTATATACAAAAAAAGCACTTTTTCAAATTTTGATTAAAAATAGATTTGATGTTTCCTAAATCACCCGATTACCCGATTACAAATCAAGACTTTAGATATTTAAACGTTGCTGGCAAAAATAAAGAATCAACAGTCGCATAATCAATTATTAAGTTTTAATATTTAACACATATATATGTTACGAAATTTTCATAAATATGCTGCATTTTAATTTGATGTTGTGCTTTAATTAGTTAAGGTCAACTTTGTCCGTTTCTCAAATTTATAAAGGTTCCGAAAAACAGCATCGAATCTGATGATAAATCATTATCCAATCACCGCATTTTCCTAATCAAACTAAGTTGTTGTAAAAGACAAGGATTTCTTGTTAAGAAAGAACATCGAATTCAAGTTTGAATTATTGAAGAAATCACCATTAACAACAGATCTTGGATATTTTGGTGCTTTTTAACAGAATGAATGGATACTTCCATAAAGTTGGAATATTAATATCAAGACATTGTTTATTTAATAGAACGTAAAGGTGTAATGTTTTATAATCATATTAAAAGCGTTTGAATATTTCGCGTAACATTCAAATGGTATAATTTATTAATAATAACAGGAATAACAAAAAATTAAATCTATATATGTATGAAATTACTAACAATATCATTAAAATAACACGTTGTTATTTATTTATATATCATTAATTTTTAAAACCTCTTCTATTGATTTTCTTTGAACTTTGCTTGATAATTTAAGTTGCAAGATTTCACCAATCTCGTTACAAGATTTTAATATTTCATCTAAATCTTGTTTAGTATGAGCAGCTGAAATGCAAAATCTGTCTTTAACAGGAATATCCTATATACAAAAAAAGCACTTTTTCAAATTTTGATTAAAAATAGATTTGATGTTTCCTAAATCACCCGATTACCCGATTACAAATCAAGACTTTAGATATTTAAACGTTGCTGGCAAAAATAAAGAATCAACAGTCGCATAATCAATTATTAAGTTTTAATATTTAACACATATATATGTTACGAAATTTTCATAAATATGCTGCATTTTAATTTGATGTTGTGCTTTAATTAGTTAAGGTCAACTTTGTCCGTTTCTCAAATTTATAAAGGTTCCGAAAAACAGCATCGAATCTGATGATAAATCATTATCCAATCACCGCATTTTCCTAATCAAACTAAGTTGTTGTAAAAGACAAGGATTTCTTGTTAAGAAAGAACATCGAATTCAAGTTTGAATTATTGAAGAAATCACCATTAACAACAGATCTTGGATATTTTGGTGCTTTTTAACAGAATGAATGGATACTTCCATAAAGTTGGAATATTAATATCAAGACATTGTTTATTTAATAGAACGTAAAGGTGTAATGTTTTATAATCATATTAAAAGCGTTTGAATATTTCGCGTAACATTCAAATGGTATAATTTATTAATAATAACAGGAATAACAAAAAATTAAATCTATATATGTATGAAATTACTAACAATATCATTAAAATAACACGTTGTTATTTATTTATATATCATTAATTTTTAAAACCTCTTCTATTGATTTTCTTTGAACTTTGCTTGATAATTTAAGTTGCAAGATTTCACCAATCTCGTTACAAGATTTTAATATTTCATCTAAATCTTGTTTAGTATGAGCAGCTGAAATGCAAAATCTAGCTCTAGAGGAGATCATTGGTGTGGCAGGATATGCAACAACGACTACAGCAATGTTTCGCTTTAGACATTCTCTTGAGAAGGCAGGTATTTTAGCAGGGTTGAATAGCAGTAATGGGATGATTGGTGAGTCAGTATCACCATAAATGATGAAACCCATTCTTCTCAAATTTGTGCTCAAATATCTAGCATTGAATGCCAATCTTTCCAATCTTATCTTGCCTTCTCCACTTTTTGCATCGTCTTCACCCATAATGATTGACATTGAAGTGTAGATTTGTTGTAGTATTGGTGGCGTCATTGATTCAGCATAGACTGATGCATGGTTCCACAATCGAAGAGCATCAATAGTCTCTTTTGATGATGCAACGTATCCACCAGCAGCACCAAATGATTTTGTAAATGTTCCCATCAAAATGTCAACCTCATCAGGATCTATACCATAATAATCACACACACCTCTACCTCTTGGACCTAGTGCGCCTATACTATGTGCCTCATCAACATACAAATAAAACTATACATCATAATAATGATATTCCGATTAATAATTTGATTTTCCCAAATAAAATGTAAAAAAAAATTTTCTTACTTTATATTTTCTTTTTAATTCAATGATTTTTGGCAGATTACATATACTACCTTCCATGGAATAAAGACCTTCAACAACCAATAAAATTTTTTTCCAAGGTCGATGGGTTCTTGGTTGCCCTTGACTAATACATTCCTTCAATAAATTTTCCAGATCTTCCATGCTATTATGTTTGAAAACTCTGATGAAAGCACCAGATAGACGACTACCAAACACAATTGAACTATGGTTAAGTTCATCAGATATGATTAGACAACCTTTTGAAGCCAAAGCAGGAAAAGTGGTGCTATTAGTAGCATAACCCATTGAAACAACCATAGCAGCAGGCTTACCAACAAATCTGGCAATCAGCGATTCCACTTGTAAATGAAGATCCAACGTACCAACTTCAATTCTTGAGCTACAAGATGAAATACCATATTTTCTAACTGTCTGTTCAACAGCATCAGCACATGGACCTTCACTCTGAGCAAATCCCAAATAATTATAACTACTTAAATTTAAACAATCTCTGGTTTTGCCGGTCAATTGAAAAGTTTTACAGTAATCTTTTGTCTCTCGTTCAAGCAATGTAATTTTTCTGCCAGGTACACCAGTGACGGGACGATTAAAACAATCATTGATTCGTAATTTTAATCTTCTTACATAGAAATTATCAAAATCTGAATTCAAAGGTGCATATCCCTATTAATTGAATTGGAGTAAAGATATTTAGAAAAAATAAATAAAATAAAAATTTATCATAACATACATTTTGTTCTTTCAAATGTCTATAATCTTTTTTTTTAAACCTTTTTCCAAAAAAATCACGAACATGTCCAAAACAAATAAGTATTAAATATGATAAATAAGTAGTGAACAAGTAATAGTATGGTGGTTCTTCTTCTTCCCAACCTGGGTCATCATCTCGCTTTTGTGATATATATCTTTGTTTATTATTGTTGTAATTATTATCATCATTATCATCATCATTATTATAATAATTATTATTGTTTAGAACTAATTTTGATGCTTTTGTTTTAGCATTTGTCATTATTATGCAAATTTTTTTCTATTTTTATGTTTTTTTAATTTTTTTTTTATAATTTGAAAAAGGAAACTAATTTCTTTTATTATTATACAAATAATTGTTAACTTTGAAAAAAAATTTTTTTATCGTTTGATGTTTTTTTTTAGATTTGAAAGAATATGGCATTTATTTTATATTGTGTATTTTATTATTATAAATAAAAGCATGTAGTGTAATTACACGACAAAACCTTCAAATAAGGTTTTGGTCTCACGTAATTCCTATATTAAATATATATTGTTTATTAGTATGTATGAACAACTTTTATTTCCTTTCCTTTTTTTTCCTTGGTCTTTAAAATAAAAAAGAAGTTAACAATTGGTTATTTGTAATTAGTTGGAATTAGAACCTTTTAAATAAAACAGAAATGTCTCAAAGTAAAGGTGCTGCTTATGATTATCTTATTAAACTTTTATTAATAGGAGATTCGGGTAAATAAATAAAAAGTAAAGTAAATAAAAATAATATTTTAATGTGTACAACAATTTTACAACTATTTAAATATTAATATTAATATATTAATATTTATATATACATACATATATATATATATATATAGGAGTAGGGAAGAGTTGCCTCTTGCTTCGTTTTTCAGATGATTCATTTACACCTTCGTTTATTACTACAATTGGTATCGACTTTAAGATTAGAACAATCGAATTAGATGGAAAGCGAATCAAACTTCAAATTTGGGATACTGCTGGTCAAGAACGTTTTCGTACAATCACCACAGGTAACTTATTAATGATTTTGGAATTGAAGTCGTAAGAGAGGAGAATTTTAATTATTAATGTTATCATGTTAATATTAATGATTATTTATTTATTTAGCCTATTATCGTGGAGCAATGGGAATACTTTTGGTGTATGATGTAACGAATGAGCGTTCTTTTAACAGTATCCTTAACCAATCCCAATCAATATTCATTGATCATATATAAATAATGATGATAATAATAATATAATGTGGTTATCTATTTCTACACACGTGTACAATGATTTCAGATATAAGGAATTGGTTTTCAAATATAGAACAACATGCAAGTGAAGGAGTTAACAAGATTCTTATTGGTAATAAATGTGATTGGGTTGAAAAAAGTGAAATTAACAAAGAACAAGGTCAAGCACTTGCTGATGAATTTGGTATCAAATTTTTGGAAACTAGTGCTAAAGCCAACATCAATGTAGAAGAGGCTTTCTTCAGTTTGGCAAGGTAAAAAAAAAATTTGGGATGAATGAAGAGAAAACTTTTAATTTATAATTGATCAATTAATTAATTAATTGTGTGTAATTAATTATTCAGGGATATCAAGAAAAGACTTATTGATACACACTCCCAAGAACAACAAACTCATCAAAATAAAAGACTTGAACTGGATAATAAGCATCTTAAATCTAACTCTAGTTGTTGTAATTAATATTGATAAATATGTTTATAATATTAATAATAAATCACAATAACAATAGCCTTGGGCTTAATCTTTATTATTATATTATAACCATATTTGATATATATTATAATTGTAATTGTAATAAATAATCAATATTAAAAATTAAGCTACCAACTAATTTCTTTCTTTTCCTTCTACACCGATTTATATAACTTACATCAAAAGGACGTTTTAATATTATTCTGCTGCCGCAAACATGTATAGTTTGAGTGAAGAAGTCTTTGAATAAACTCTTGGTTTAAAAAGACGCTGTTAAATTTGTATTTTTGCAAATCGAAAATTTATTGGGTATTGGTACTTATTATATATTAGCAGTCGAACAAACGATTTTCTCCGAAATTTTTCGGTGATCGACGTCAAAATTTTATTAATAAAATTAGCCACAAACCTTAATTCTACCTCTTTCTTCTCCTTAAAAAAATTATACATTAATATTAATGGAGGTTATTTAATAAAATAGAGAAAAATCTTGGTGTCAAAGTTTATTTATCAAACAAATTACCACGTTTAGAAATTAGTTATCTCTTTTTTGGTCAGTACGCTTGGTGATCTCCTGCCTATCTTTTTTCATTGATTGATAAATAAATTTTATCAACACGCACATCTCAGATGGTATTGCAACGTAAATTCTTGTTTGCATAACAAGATTTGGTAGAATTACTTTTTTTTTCTGACACCACCAAACAAGTGGTTTACAAGTTCCACATGTTTCAGAAATATTTGCATGGATCTTCTTTTGATAATTGTATTGTTATTGTTGTTGGTTGAAACGGGAATGTAAACTAGTATTATCCAAAACATCAGATGAAATAGATAGATTCAATATTTGTATCACTCGCTGTCAGATTTGATAATCATCATTTAAAAAATTTATCATTATTATTATTTACCTATTATTATTATTATTATTACCACCACCACTACTTATTAATGGTTCATTGTTAATATTATCAATATGAATATTTTTCTTTATTATTATTGACTGTTATGAGTATTATGTTTTTTAATTTTGGCAAATGAATGAATGGTAGGTTTTTTCTTTTGTCATTAAGAAAAAAAAATATATCAGCTAGCTAAGCCGCCGATAAATTTCTCAGCCGGCCGACATCGTTAATCAATTTCCAATAATATTTCAAAATTGATGCGCATGCATGGTATAATTTCCCCGATGAAACTTCTTGTTTTTCCAAATGCACATTATATTTTTAACGTAGTTATTATCTTTTTTATATTCAGTCTCCATACTTAATGCTCTGGCTTTATTACGTGCCTCCACTTTTAATTAAACTATTAGCATAGGTTTTATTAATGGTAATAGTACTTTCGAACATTTCACAAGTTCAAAACCTAAACTGAAATTCAAAAACCATACAAAATTCAAAACCTAAGCCGAGAGTCAAACTATGAATACATTTGACCAAAAATCGCTTAATTCTTTTCTCGAAAATAGTTTAGGAGTTTCGGGTTAGTTTCGAAAGTAGTTTAGAAAAGATGTTAGAGTTTAGAAAGGCAACTATAAGATTGACTGTATTACGAATAGAAACCCTAGGTCAAGCCCTTCAACATACAAGTTTACAAAGATGCAAATATATAATCAGTAAAAAACAGACATGAGCTAATCAAATTATCATATTAATTGCCCAGTACGCCTACCATACACATAATAATATTTATTTTTGGTGTGGTTCAGTATTGTACATCAAAGTAATAACCATCAAGTCCCAAATCGTGAAAGGTATGAATAAATATCAATGCTATGAATGCAATCATCAAACTTGATGATGTTATGTTTGCTGAAAAAAATCTTTCTTTTTTAGCATTTTTTATGGAACTTCTCTAATTTTAAATATATATTTCTCTTTTTGCACTTTTTGAACTTTTTGTTTGTCTTCCTCTTCAGAATCTTTGCGATGAGAGTAAATAAAATAATTAAGAGCTCCGGTTTCAAGTATATTGATCCGTACCATATTTTCCGCTCTCATCCTTTTCACTTCTATCGTTATTGGTCCATCATTATTCTCTTTTTCCCCTTTCACTTTTTTAGTTTTTTTCTTTCGACATTTGATCCTTTTTTTCATAGCTTCTTTAATTCTTTCACAATTATGATGTTTTAGAGGACAAGTTTCCTCCGCCCCGGTAATTTTCTTGATTTCTTCTAATATTGGACCACTTTCAAAGACTCCTTTCCCAAAAAGATACTTTTTCACATTAAGAAAAAATCTTCGAATGTTTTGGAATTTTTTATCCTTTAGTAAATCCTTTATATGTTTTTCTTCGTCATATTTATACACAAGCTGATAAAAATACACCCAGTTATCACTAATCATAACATAGTAATATTTATAATCGCTTTCTTTTTCTTCTTTTGTTTCTTTTTTTTTTCCTATTTCTTTTTCTTCATCTGTTGCTTTTCTTTTGCCTTTATTTGTGAATAAATTTTTAAACAATCCATAGACAATAAAGAAAATATAAAGAAAGACACAGAAAAAAATCAGGACTTTATTTTTTTTTTTTTCTTGTTGATCATTTTTTCCTTCGTCTTTATCTTTTTCTTCACAAATATAAAAGTGTCCGCCTGTAGAACCAAATCGGCATCTTGTCCATTTGTCCAATGCTTTATCCTTTTGATAATAAAAATGTACAATCTCATTAATGTTTTTAACTTTGATTTCTGCATAAACTTTCTCATCTCCACCATGTTTATAAGTACATTCAATTACTCCATTGTCAGAAAAGAATGATGCGATTGAACGGGTCAAAACAATGGTGAGAGTGGTGTTAAAAACTGTGTTAAAAAAAGGTTGGGTACAAAACCAATAATATTCAAAAAATATATGAAGTATGCAAAGGATAATGGTAAAAAAGAAAACTTTTTTACGAACAAAGCCATTATAATGTCTCTTTTTGCCAGTAATGCAAAATACATATTTTTCCAAATTAGGAAAATGATATGTTACAACTAAACAAAAAGTTGCAAGGAGATAACAAAAATTCATGAAGTAGTTTAAAAATAACAAGTTGATTTGCCTATTATATACAACATTCTTTGATCCATTATTTGAATTAAGTTGATCAATTTGTCTGAAGTATGTTGAAAATATATACTTGTATGTCAAGAAACTATAAACTATGACTTCAATTGAATGAAGAAAATACCCCCAAATAAACATGGCTTTAAAAGCAGTGAAGAATTCTTTGTTGGTAAGACGTAACTCCTTTGGAAGCATTTGAAACCATATTGAATCTTTGTTGAGCTCATTCCGATATTGGTGAAAATGGAACCTGATAATTCCCCAAAAAGTCAGAAGAATTACCATGCTTCCAAAAAAAATCCCAATAGCTATTGAATTGATAAGATCTTTGTCATAAATTAGATCCTCTTTGATTTCATGTATTACTCCATAATACCATAATGGTTTGGTATAAGTGTACCACCAAAGAATCGGTCCAAAAGAAGTTGTAAGAATAACAATGTCATCAAGAAGGCAGGTTGTCATAATACCAAATATAGATTTCGTGCCATAAACAGCTATAGTAAAAAGAAGACCTGTGATAGGGATGAACGTCCCTACTTGAGAAAAAAAGCTGGTGTATGCTTGTAAACTGCCAATAGAACTACTACCAGGACATACAAAATCTACTCCATCATAAGTAACATTGATTTGTGGTAATTCTATTATGCCAGCAAGAAAATTAGTTACTGTTGACGTAAGATTTTTTTCTGCTTTTGCTGTGGAGATAAAACCAAAAAAAAGGCAGAAAATAAAAAGTTTTATTTTAATCATAGAAAACATCTTTAAAGTAATCTATTAATGAATAAATCATTCAAGTAATGAATGAATTTATATATGATTTTTGCTGCTAAATATCCGATCGAATATTGTTACTATATAGGAATAAAATTTAGCCCGCCCGATAAATGAAGATAAATTAGGTTTTATCTACATATAAGTAAAATTTAAAAAAAAAATCATAATAATCTTTTCGGAGAAAACAATCCGCATACGATAATAATTTATTTAAATTATAATGTTGATTGACCATAAAGGTTTCGCAGTGCAGTGTTGAAAATTCAGTGCGGGAATGCGAGTGTAACATAACACACCAAATTTTTAACTTTTGGAGATAGTTCTAAATTTGTATATATATACTAGAAAATCTCAACAGATGCAGTGTTTCGAATTTAAATTCGACTGGATTATGAGATTCATATTCATCAAGAAGGTTACACTGATCAAAAATCAGATGATCAACACTGTTTTATAAGTAATGAATGAGAATATTCATGAGACATGCAAAGATTTCCATTATTGCATATCATTCCAAAATTTAAATTTTAGAATTGTTTCATTGTCGGACATACAATAAACCAGTTGTTAAATGTATAATTACGCAATAATCACATCAAAAATGACTGAATGTTCATCAATGCATGCTCCGTATGCAATAATTCACATATGTTGTTCCTGTACACTATTTATTTTTTCTAAAAAGATATCGTTTTATTGAATTCAAACAAAATCACAGACAACTTTACAAAATAATTAGAAGAAAAGTCAAATATCTTTTCTTGAAACAAAAAGATTAAAACCGAAAAAGAAAGGTTTATTCAAAAACAAACTCAAATGCAAATTCCATTTAAATTTTATAATGAAGACTACGATAAAGCAGAAGAATTATTTTCTAATTTAAAAAAGAGCTGGCTGGTTAAAAATTGAAAATTTTATGATTTTAAGTTTGCACTATATATATAAAATCAATCAATCGTCCGTCACGTTACTAAGATTTATTATTTGGTGATCAGCAAGTATCGTCAGCTTCGTCATTTCGTCAAAAGACCCTTGGTGATAAATATGAATTTCGTCATGTACAATTTTCTCAATCACTCTCAATTTTGTCCATTTGAGGGATAATGGATGATCTGGTTAAGAAAAATTTTATTTTCGATTGCTAAAATTTCCATCGAAGAATTTTTTTTAATTAAGAAAAAAAAACTTGGTAGATTTTTTTTTTTTTTTAATAATCAAAACTTGTAAATAACTTTTGATGTTTATTTTCTATAGCGATAGATTTGAAAAAAAACCCCCAATTGATCCAATTGACCTTTAATCTGGGATAAATAAATAAACACGAGGACAAAGATCAGGATAAAGGATCTTTTTTTTAATTAGGAAAAAAAGCTTTGTTATTTTTTTTTAACAATCAAAATTTGTAAATAAATTTTGATTCACATGAGGGTTCTTCTTTTCAAAGGATCTTATTTTTTATAGGAAAAAAAGTTAGTTGATGTTTTTTTAACAATAGAAATTTGTAAAGTTTATTCTTTTATGGCGGATATGCTTTAAAAAAAATCTGATCAATCAAATTGACCTTTGATCTGGGATGAATAAATAAATGAATAAAATCCAATTCACCCCTCTCCTTTTGTCAATTCAATATATATAAAAATGTCATCTATCTTATCATCCATTATAAATGGGTAGCTGTGTGTTGCGCGGAAGAATAAAATTGACTATTACAATTTATTGCTTAGGTTCTAAAGATTGCAAAAATAAAGAGTTTGTTTTAGCATTGGTGATTTGGAGTTGCGCAATTTTTTACTATATATCAAAAAAAATTTCAAGTGGTATGACCATTTTAGGTACAAGTCGTATCCAATTAAGGTAAAGCGATTTTATGTCATTAATATAAAAGCAAACATCAACTTTTTAGTAACAAACATCTTTCTTTGTACGTTATACATTGAATTATTAAGAGCAAAAAACTCGAGTTTTTTAATCATTGAAGCACTAATCAGTAAAATGCGTTTTTTAATCTTTTTGTATAAATGTATAAATAAATTATTACCAATCAATCTTGTACGAAAACTAATCTTTGGCGGTGGCTCTTTTATTATTATTTTTATTGTTTCATTTTTACAACATCCATGCGAACAATTTGATAATTATATCTATTTACCAACATTTATTGCCCTAATAAATCAACATATATAAAATCTCCTAACTGGTGAATACAATCTTGCATTTCTATTAATATTTTTCCATTCTTTATATAATATATTATAATACCTACTTTTTATAATAAAAGCCTTTGTGTCTAATTCATCATTTTGAAAATTTGCTCTACATTTCTTAATGCTGTTAAAAACAGGTTTTGTGGGTCTAAATTCTATTAACCAAATATAATAATACGAAATATCAGAGCATTTTACACTTTAGCGGCCTATTAAATTCATAACTTTATAATAGAAATTCTCTCAATATAAGAAAATATTCGTTTAAAAATTTTTAATTGAGCAGCTTTTTTTTTAAAAAAAAATAACACGACACGAATTCAAAATTAAAATATGCCACTCACAGCAAACTGGATATATATTTGTAAGACTAAACATAGGCTTTAATAGATAAATATTAAATTTATTAGAATAGAGCGAATTTAAAAACCCATCCACCACATGTTTGGTTATGGACTTGACTTTTATAACAACAATCGTATATACCATTTAAATTTGTTTAATATACAACCTACGTCAGTTTTGAAATTTAACAAATCCGTTGCACGAATATTTTTTACTATATAAAAAAATTTTTAAGTAGCTGATTTTGAAAGTCAAGGTCTTTCATACTAATTCTATGAGGATGAAGTGTTTTGAATTGAATCGAGCTGGTATGTTATTTATTTTTTATTACAAAAATTATTAGATTATAAATTGAAATTAACTTCAAACCACTATTGAAATAACTATGAATTCAAGACATAAAAATTTGTTGCTTTGTTAAAGTTTCCACAGAAAAAGATGTACCTCTTTTTAAATATTCCAAAATTAAAGGCACTAAGGGTTTTTTTGTTTATTTTCTGAATTATCTTTAAATGCTCACTTACTAAAAATATTCTTTCTTGGCATTCTCCAGATGTGCCCATATTTGAAGCTGGTTTAATCCAAGTATAGGTTCCCTTGGAATATTAAATTTTTTATTGATGTTAAATTATTTTCATGGCTTTAAGATTTTCACAAAAACTTGAGGTTTTTTTTTCAGGAATAAGCTAATTGAATCTTCAAGTTTTTATCTATTCCTCATATAGATAGAAATAATTTGCTCGTAGATAAATTTCTGTTATTTCATATTTGTATATTAAGTATTTGACTTGAAATGTCAAAGATTGTAATAAAAGATTCCAGCAATAATAAATTATTTAATAAACTATTGTGCATATATGAAAAAATATTGGATCAAGACTTTAGGTTGAAGAACCATTTAAATTAGTTATATTTGCTATAAACAGATATTGCCCATCTTAAAAAAATATTATTTTAATTTTAATAAAACTTACGTAGGGTGATATTTAGTTTCTTTTGATTTTCTGGTTTGAATTCTTGAAATATAAGGTACAAATTTGAAGTATATATTTTATTATGAGCAACATTTGCTATTTCATTCATTTTCATTTTTAATTTTTAATTATGATGTTTTTTTAAGTTTGCAATTAATTTATTTTGCTTTTTTATAATTAATCATTAGATGCATGTATTGTTTTGTTGAATTTACTCCAGCCAAAATTCTTTGTTGAATTTGTGATTTAAAACAATTTTCACATATGGGGCATGCTGCAACAAAACCAGACAAAGTGAACATTTGTATTACTAAGGACTTCAAGTATTAATCTACCACTATGATAATAATATTTTGCTTATCAATGTGAAATGAATAAATGCAAATCAATTGTAAAAATATTTCATTATAAATATTTATTTTGAAAATGATAAATTACAATCAACATAAAAAGACAATTCTAAATTAATTATATAGTCTTATTTAGTTTCTATTTTCTTGTGTTGTGTTGGGTAGTAATTGTAACAAAAATAAATAAATATAATTGATTATACCACTTTACCTGAATTTCTATTCATTGAGTAATTTAATGTTTCTCTGCTTTAAATATATAATCTTTAAGTACAATTTTTCAAACAATTTAAAGCGTTTTTCTACGAATTTCTTCATGGCACAATCCTTCAAGGGATTTTTCAATTTTTAATAGTAAAGTTGTTGGGTCAACTTCTTTGTAATTTTCTAGTTCATCACCACCACTATTATCAGATTTCTTTTCTGATGATTTTTTATAATTATTAGTTTGTTTGTATTTTTTCCTATATCTTTTTACACTAACATCAACACTAACAATATCCCCTGGATAAAAATTTTCTAGATCTTCTTTATCATTATCATCAATCATATGAATATTTTTTGAAAATTTCTTTACAATATTTAAAACCATTTTTTAAACTCACAACCTCCTTGTTCTGCAAATCATCTATTAACTTAAATACATGTCTTTCATGTTCTTTAGTATCTTTTTTAATAAAACTGCTAGAGGATAATTCATTTTGCATAACTGAATTGTTCAAGTTTCCAAGATTGGTATTGGTGATATTACTTGGTTGTGACATAGGTTTTTTCTTATTTAGAATTTTAAATTCATCATGCTCAGTCGAAACATTTAAGATTGAAAAATCATGGTTTGGTTTGACATACCATGTGTTGGAGTAGAATTTCCTCACCATTTTAGTTTCTCGGAAGTCAAGTATGAGGTATGATTGGATTGGTATTGGTAAATATATGCCATCTAAATAAAAGGTAAATGTATGTACACATTATATAGAGATAAAAATAAATAGAATCCACATACTACATAATTATATGAATATATACCATCATTGAAACGATCATGATGCTTTTTCATTTTGTCTCCATCAACAAGCAATTCAACTGCCCATTGTCACACTGGGCAAATCTTTCCAAATACCCCTTGTCCGATTGTCCAATTTGTGTCCAATTTGTGTCCAATTTACTGTATTAGGTAATTTGGACTAATAGTTACTGCGGCATTTGGACAATTGGACAGGACAAATCCAAATAAAAATTAATTGGATACCTAAAAATGCCAACCCTGCCCATTTTGGTTCATTTACATAAAAATCGACCAACCCGTTTGTTGAAAACAGATGTCCAACGTCTGGTGAGAGGTGAATTTCAGGAGGTAGGCAACTGTATATTGCTCTATACAGTTCCATTTGCCACACCCTCTCTAGTAATTTTTTTCTATTCTTAGATCGACCCAAACTATTTCTCAATGTTTCAATGTCAATTCTGGATAAAGCTTCTTTGGTCAAGTCATGTAAATTAAATTCACCTCTCAATGGTTCTTTCATTGGAGCATATCTTTGAAAAAATGATAATAATTTTTTTGCAGGTGAGGTGAACCCAACAACTCTACTTTCTCCTGATTTCAAGTAAGATATCACACCAATTTTAACCAATGATGATACAACATCATCAGAGCCTGATTCAGGAACATTTATCTCATCTTCCAGCAATAATTTATCAATTACTTCCTTTTGTTTTTCTGTAAAATTGTATAATTCTGATGAGATTAAGCCTTTAGAACTATATAAATGCAAATAGAAGTCAATACATAGAAAATTAAAATAGGCATTAACTAGAATGATGGTGAGTTGCAATGATCACAACAATCACCATCATTCTTTTTAATAAGACTAGAGTGACAAGTGACAGTGGCGATAACCACCACCATTCTTACAATAAACACTTACCCAGCAATTGCTGTTCCAGTATACTTTTCTTTTCTTTTTTTGCCCGATTCCTTTCGTGGCATTTTTAGTTTATTAACGAAAGAATATGGGACTGTCTACAGCAAAAACCACCTCCGAGCTCTTTTGACCAAATTTGTGTTTTTTACATAATACCATCCTGTAACATGTAGATTATAACTTGTGAAGATATCGGACCCTGTTTTCTTAATAAAAACATGGGAAATTGTAGGCCGGATATTTTTTTTAAAGTAATTTGCGTGTAGAATGAAATTGATCTACATACCCCATTTTTATTGTTACACGTAATAATTTAAATAATAATAAATTGGCATATCTGTTTTTTCTGAAATGTTAAATTTAAATATGTATGTGCGTGTATATATATATATTTTAATTATTTTCAAGAGGAATAGCCTCATATAAAGTTAATTTGGAATTTATTTTGTGAATTATTTTTATTATATT